GACATTAATCAACATTCCACCCAACTCGGGAGGCCACGTGCGGAGATAAAACCTAGTAGGGCAGTGCTTTCTTAAGCGCCGGATACGTTTTTCGTCGATATCAAATGAATGCTCAAAGCAACAGTGACGTTGGGTCACAAAGAAATTAGCGTGCTGGGCGAAGTGATTGGCAATGAAGTTGGAATTACTCTCATTTCTAATTTTAAAAACTGTTAGAATCAGGAAAAGAAGGCAGAAAATCCATGGTTAGCCTAAACTTGCACAGCTGAGGTACATGATCAACAAAATCTAGTATAGACGTTTTAGGAATGCTAGTGTTTAAAGTAAGGCTTCGTAACCCAAATTCTACGTTCGTGGGAGCCGAAAAAGAGTTAAGGCTCCCCGCTCGGTTTCCCGCTTGAATCAAATCTGTTTAAAGCAAACCGGCACTAAAAGTTCCAGCCACTGTACAGCTCTATGTAAATTCTCGGTGATTATGAACACTGCAAGTCCCTTAGCATTTGGCCAACCCGACTGAAGATACGAAAACGTGAGGTTCGATTGCAGCATACAGCAAAACCTACGGCAAAGGTTGTCGATGTACACTGTCCACTTGCCTTCGTGGCTGTTGGTGGCCTATTGTCGCATTCATATTCAGAATAATAAATGTTCATCTCCTTACCATGTAAAATTGTGAAAAAATAGCTACTTCTTCGCGACCTCAATCGGGAGCCCAACGTAATCATAAAAATCCGACTGTTTTTTATTAGACATCTATCTTGCGACATAAGCTTGCATTGTTCATTATGTATTCTGCAGATCAACCGCGGCCACAGATGAAAATGTCGCCAGCAGCCGCAGTCATTCGGTATTTACAATTTACATCAAACAGGTATGAATTTGGTGGTGTGACGAACATTTTATAAAATTTTTGTTTTAACGGGCGTAAAGTGTAAAACACACTGACCTAATTATTTCAAAAATAGTACAAAACTCGGAAAAATCTTGTTGAGTTAAATGAACCATCCCGACAAATGGGAGCAAATGTACTCTAAGAAGTCAGTTATGTTGTTGTGATGGATGGTCGGATAGCAAATATTCAAACAACAGTATGATGAGTATAGATTATGCAAAAAACATCATGAATGGTTTACCATGAAAGCTAATTCTGCTCAGAGGGTTTTGAGCAGTCTCACGCATTCTATCTGCAATCACTGAGGCGGAGATGAAGTAATGAACCAGTACAGACCAGGTTTAAAATGAGAAGCAACTAACCGACGACGAGCATCGCGAATGAAAACGTATGACAGAGGGTTTACGAACGGCGACGTAGAAGGGACCTGTCCTCTTTCAATTCGCAAATATAATACTGTCCAAATCAATAAATGAAAAAGTTTTTGTTAAATTTTCCCTTCAAATGAAGGGGACCCATTAGCTAATAAGTAGTTTTTACTGGCTTCTCGAAAAAAAACGATATGGTAATGCTAGTTTACATATGCAAAGTCGCGTCTGTTATACAATGATCAGCAAACCATGACCCTTGCAGCCTGCTGTGCGCTGGCAGTTCTTTGATACCTGGTTCCCTGTCAGTGGATGCGCTCGCACTACTGCTGGTTATACAAGCTGTGCGCATGGTTGCCCAATGTCTTGTGTCATCCTCTCCTCTTATTGACTCATTTTTGTTGTTGGTAAAAATCCTGACCAAGTGTCTGTTGCGGACCAGGGAGTATGGTGGTACGCCTAGATGCGGGTTCGCCTGTGTCAGCCACTTGCGCCCCCCCTCACCTCCGATCTTCTTGACTATGTCTTGACATCGGGCCCAGGTGGTGGAGAAGGAGAGAGTGCGGTTGATTCTGTGCAAGTCTGCCGTCGTTATAAACTAATTCTCGAGCAATTCACCGATTCTGTTTCATTTCACTGTGGAGCACACGATGGAGATCCTCAGACGCGACGGCTGAACTGTCGCATATGCAGAGACAGTTGGAGAAGATTTTGGGTCAGTAGAAAACCAAAACTTCAAAATCAGTTCCCTTATGACAAAAATTACTGGCTTGTACCGCGCATCTGCAGGAAATGGTCGGTTTTCAGAGCCGAAACAAAGTAGCAGTTCAGTTATGCAGCGTAGGCATGTCGGTCTGCCGGCCAAAAGCTTCCTGTCCACCGGTAGCCGACAGCTTGGAGGACAATGATTCCTGAAAGGGGTCTAGTTACCATAACCACGACCGAGGAGTGTTCCATTTTTGTTGCATAGTCTATGGCTGGCGGCCGAGTCGACTAAGAATAAATGGATGAATAAACACGGTTTTCTAATTGCACTGGAAGGCGATTTTTCTTAAAGACTATAAGTCACTACTGCGTACTTCACTACCAGACAGGTCATTAATTTTTCCGAGGTGTCGTTCAGAGCAGGTGCAAGTAACGGCAAAATCCAAGCGAACCAGTCAATTCTGATATCTACGTTCAACATTTCTCTGCTGTGTGAATTTCAGGAAAGTCAAAGCGAAGAAGGGCCAAAAACCATACAGAGCAGGCTGAGCTTCATAGACTTGGCAGGAAGGTGCGTGTTCCATTTTCTTTTCCATGCACTACTGCTGACCAGTCTCCTGTCTGATGTACTGTACAAGACTTAACTCTGGTTTCGAAAACAGGATAATATAATGAAAATGATCTGAAATATCAATGGGAAATTTTTAGGTTGATATAAGAAAATCCCCTATAATATAGTGCCTTATTTCTAATGTGGGGTTGGGCGGTAGACTGCATATCGCTCTATGATCACAGAAGCTGGGTGCGAATACCAGGCCGCCTAGAGCTGGAACTTGGTATGACTGGCTGGTGATGTCGAATAACTCAGAAGTGGTCATCCCAATCTACCTTGTCATTGTCGGTATCCCCCCTCCCAAGTATATTACTGGTCGCTATAGACCGCCTGCGAGGACTATAACTTAAGTCCCAAGGCGAGCATGTCTCGTAACCTGATAGATGAATAACCTTCCTAGGACCTTACGAGTTTGTTGGAAAAGTTTTGGGTTACACTAAACTCTTCAGGTTCAAAAGGACCAACTACTTAGGTGAACTAGTTAATCAGTAGTTAGGGACGATTGTTCGACTCACCTACGTGGCGTCACATGTATACATCAGATGAAAGCAAGAGTCATACAAGGCATTGGCAATAGTGGGTAGTTTACTCTTTTTTAATTCTTTACTCATTTTCTGGTACGCCTACCTCCCACAAAAAAATACAAAAACTAATAAAATATTTGTAAAAATTAAAGTTGTGCTGCTGATCTTCTACAAAACCCAGTTTTTCTCCCGCAAGCCCTTATGCCAGGTTTTGGGTCTACAGACTGACCGACTAAACTTTGTCTCCTTTTTCTACTGTTAGCGAACGCGCACAGTTGGACCGAAGCGCCAGGCACCTCTCGGAGACCAAGAGTATCAACAAGTCTCTTTGTACCTTGAGCATTGTGATACGAAGACTGGGTAGGTTGAAGCTTTTTCTCCGTCACTTCAAATATTCTAATGTTACATGGTTGATGAGGATTTTTTGGTTTTGTGGGGTCTGGACTGATCCTAGGGAGAGACAGGCGCGGTGACGGTTAATTAAAATGCATGTCTGCCAACCATCACTAGAAAACTAGAAAGACAGCTGTCGCCATCCTTGTCTGCCCTATCTACCACCTTGTGATTTTAAAAGACTAAATTCTTGCCATATTAATTTATCTCTTCTCTGTTTCGACATTTCGTTTTAACTTTCTTTACGTAGGTGATTGCCGTAGCAATAAAGCTACAAAGTATAAACATGCGCAGGTAGTAGAGAAACCTAAATTTATTATGTGCCTCCAAATAGGAAACACTCAAATCGGGTTGTAACATTGGCCGACATGTAGTGTAGCCCTCAAGCGGTCCCCTCGCGATTGCATGCTGGTTTCTGTACAACGATCTTTGGCCACTCCCAAATTTTCTTATGGACTAAAATATTTTGGGCCCATTTCACAAAAAAGGCCGAAATGAAGAGCGAGGCACGTAAATCTCGAATAATGCGGATCAATGCCGTAAACACCCAAAACCTGCCAACACGGCCGCACTGTCAACCGACTGCCAGAGCTCAGATTGGACTGTTCGGACATAATAGGATGCACCGTCACGACAAACTGCACAACTGATCGATTTCCGCCCAGACAGTCGTCATCATCAGTAAAGTCGTGGCAATGAATCCATCCTCATTGTCACTCAAAAGCCCGATCAACGACCTGCGCTCATTGTAGCCGAAACTAAACAACACACATCGATCCTATCGGTTACTTGCAAATGCATCACATTGCAACCGATTAACCAATGACAGGATCACCAAGATACACCCATCACTTTCGCCTCCCCTGTGCAGGACATTTGGTCGCCGAATGGGTCTATTTTGTCATAAGCGCATCCATGAAAATTTTCAGCAAAACACTACAGTCCAGCCATTGTAACACCATTCCGCCCTACCCGCACACACCCTATGTTACAAGACAGTGCGTGTCTCAGAATGTCCACCGTGTGCTCCGCAGCGAAGTGAAGCAGGCATGGTGAATAACTCATGAATTGGTTTATAGTAATAGCAGACTTACGCAGAATCTACCCCACTCTCTCCTCCTCCTCCACCTGGGCCCGGTGTCAAGACAAAGTCAAGAAGACCGGAGGTGGAGGAGGGCGCAGGTGGCTGGCACGGACGAGCCTGCACCTAGGCGTACCACCATACCCTTGGTCCGCAAAAGACAATTGGTCAGGATTTTTACCAACAACAACAGAAAACACTTGGATGACTGAGCAGTCACGCACACGACCTGTATACCTGACGGGAGCGCAAGCGTATCCACTGGTAAGGAACCTGGTGCCAGAGAACTGCCAGCACACACCAGGCTGCAAGGGTCATGATTTGCTGATCATGGTATAGCAGATACTTACGTTCCTTAAGTCTCACGTCACGAACGGCCATACCTCAGAACACGTGCGTACGCGACAACTCTCAGCCACTCACCATGCATCACTTCTTTAGCAAGCATGCAACTCACTTTGCCGATGCCGGTATGGCTGGAGAAACGTCGTACGTAAGAAGCTGAATATATCATATACGTGGGATGCATTCCCCACTTGGGCCGTTCAGCCCTGTGAGCCATTGCTTCCAATCTTGTCACCGGTGCATGAAGGGGGGAAAAGAAAATGAGGCCGACAGCAGGGAATTCATCCTCATGACATATCAGCGCATTTCTCACTAATGATAAATCTGGCAACGCGCTAGGACTCATGGCTTCAAAAACTGTGGACTGAGGAGGCACTCTGAGCTCTCTAAGGATTTTGGATCAGACTGTGATTGCTCCTTTTTAGCCTGACCTTTATTTCATTCTTACGGATATGAGACCTGAGTCATCCCCAAATGTGGCCTGACACGCGCGTAGTAGGTGCCAGATCCTGTTCATATACGATAGCTTAGGCATATAAGTATGCCCATGTTAGCAGAATCAAAAGGAAAGTTGACTTCTTTTCAGTATAAAACCCCTAAGTTTTTTGGAAATCTGAAGAGAAAGCAAAACTGGAAATTCGAAATACACCGGAATTTTTGATAGTCTATGTGATGGAGATCTCCATTTCTTCCGGTTGGTAGCCTAGATGCGTGGTCTTCCAAAAATCCAACATAAGAAGTAACTTGCTTCCTTATTTATCAAATCAATGGAATTTTGATTTTTCGAATGTAGAAAATTTATGAAAAACCCCGTAGCACTTAGGAAGTGGTTAAGAATAAGTCCTTGATAAAATACCAACATATAAAAATATACCAACTTAATTAAAAAGGCTTAATTTAAAACAATTGATCGATTTCAAAATTTGCTAAATCACAACGATGCATCATGCTAGTCAATACTGCAGCATTAAGTAGGTTATATATCTAAGTGGACATGGTGATAAATACCCCAAATATTACAGGTGGCCTTACGCTAAATTCCAGAGAAGGCTACATATTGCCATATCCTGAATTTAACCCCCGGTCCTAAACATTCTTAGCATTAACGTAAACACTAACAATAACGTCGAGCCTACCTTGAATTTAGCCCAAAGGCACCTGCAGTACGAGGGGTGCTTACGCCCGCGCTCTGCCGTTTGTTTTGGCCGAAGGCGTATTAACAGATATCCCTCATCTTTACTGGCTCTAGCACAAAACTGCCGACTGCTGTCGTCCGCTTGGTGTGTTTCCAAGTTCTTCGAAGGAAAAAACCAACGTGTACAGGATACGTTTAATGAGAAAATATTCACTTACTGCCATTCTTGGAAACGGCGCAAAAAGACAGAATAGAAAGATGCGGCCTAAAACTTCCTTCGCATCCCCAAAGTTACATCTCATCATTTCCAGCTACTACTACTACTACTACTACTACTACTACTACTACTACTACTACTACTACTACTACTACTACTACTACTACTATTACAATCTTCCGAATTCTAAATAGGAAATAAATCATCCTAGAAATTCGAAGTTTCGTTGCATCAGTGTTTCTAGTGCAACGCACTCTTTAGACTTTTAGTTAAATATAACTTGAGAGTATTCATCTCCACTGTGAAGAATTGTTGAAACATGGCCTCGAATGAAGGTGAATTTTGCTTTTCATTGTACGTATAAAGAAAAAGGACAACTTTGTGTTTCACGTGACTTTGCATAATTAATTGACGGTTCCAGCCGCTTCTCGTCTATGTCTACTGTTCTGCAGCGGAACTGTCAAAAGAGGACCCAATAGACATTTCCCTCACGTCTATCAGCAGCACATCCTCCCAGGGTCGCATTTCACGACAACGAACTGGTTATGTGCCTTACCGCGACTCCAAGTTAACTTGGCTGCTTCGTGACTCTCTGGGAGGGAATTCAAAAACCACCGTCATCGCCAGTGAGTCCTCTTTTGACTAGTGATATTCAATAAAAATCAACCACGAAATCCAAGAAGCTGGTTCTGTTCATGAAAAGTCGAAGACTTGGGATCAAAAAGGTCGCCCATATGATGTCTACTGTATTATTCTTGAAAAATTGGTGTGTACTCAGATGCCGGCCTAATTATAATGATCCATCTTAAAAACTCCTGTTGTTTAAAGCCATTTTCAGGGACTTCTCCCTCAAGTTACCCATTAGAGGCACGCGCCAGCGCTGTGCGAACAGATGTTAATGAAACAAACTCATTTAAGCAGAGTTAAACGACTGAAAAACCACAAACTTGAGATTTCTCCCCGTTCTCTCTATATTATATGTTTGAAAAAAACTTCTGAAAAACCATTCGGTTAGGAGCAAAGAGTCATTCAGTGTACAAAAAATACTTCACAAAGTTCATACTTCGACCTTCTTTGGCGGAGAATCTCGCTTCCTGCAGATAATATGGACAGTCGTTTCATGAGGACTTGACCCCAAGGTTGTCGTTAATTTATGTTAAAATGGGAACCTTAGAAATTGGATCACAAGGCATGGCCTCCCTGAGGAATGCGGGGGTACCCGTTTTCGGGGTGGGACCCCTCGCGTTTTGGGTATGCGGAGGAAGAAGAGAGGAGAAACTTTAGACCGAATTGGAAGTATTATTAAGACGTGCTCATGCACTTGGCTTGTTTGTGTTACTGTTACACGTTGCACGGCCTCTTTGGTAATCCGGACTTTGTCTTTTGTCTCCACGTTTTCAGCAATTTCGCCTTCGAGCGCCAGTCTTCGGGAGACGATGAACGTTCTGCGGTTTTCCCAGTGCATAAAAATGATTAAGAACTACCCGATGAGAAACGAGGTATTGCAATCCCTTCCCCAATTTTTCCTATATTGACTAGGACCCAAAAGCCGCCTATATCCGAAAACTACTTCAGGAGATTGATCGACTTCGTGTGGAGGTTGAGGGCTGCAGAAAGGTAGGTTGTTGGTCTTATCTCTATGTGCAATTCGAACATCACCAGTAATACAAACTGAACCCTTTTACCCCTTGGTATACGTGTTCATATTACTGAGGAGTTCCCGAAAATAGCTCTTGACGTAGATTAAAGAGTATTCTCATGATGCCATTTTTACATTTATAAAGATTAAGTTTAGAGAAAGGGTCTGGTAATGGGCTCTTGCACGTATTCTACTTAAAGAAAGAGACAAACTGCGTTAAAATTTGAACATTGTTACTGGAAGACTTCAGAAAAACGTTCGTCGCTGGCTTCACTTGTTGTACTCTTAACTACATTAAAAAGACTAATTGTCAAAATTACGAACAATGCCAAATTCGTTTTTTTCTCGAAAAGTCCTAATAGACATTATTCTCATGTGCAAACCTTGCTTGCATATATGAAGTGTAGCAAGCAATTGAATCAATTTATGTCTGTTGCTTTTTAATTTCCTTAGAAATTAACTGCGAACTTGGAGTCGGTCAGTATATTTAAGATCTATAGGCTCAGACCAAAGTTTTTCTGTATGAATATTTAGGCCGAAATCCATCAGCCACAGCGGATAACCGCGTAATATTCATTTACTGCCGACAGGCAGCTAGTGGTACATTTTAAGGTAACGGGATTCCATACTAAGAACACAGGTAGTAGCCCAAAGTGTATACACGCGTGTTTCGCCGATATTTTGCCGCTGAATGACAGCTGCGAGGGATCCGGCTCGTCCGTGGGTTCCCCAGCATTCCCTGTCTGCTTTCCGATAGATACTGCAATCTACAAATTGTTGCTTTTCATTTACCTAGAAATTAACTGCGAACTTGGAGTACATCAGTATATTTAAGGTCCATAGGCTCAGACCAAAGTTTCAGTTGTAATGCATAACAGCCAAATCGGCAAAAACCTAATAAATCCTCCAGAATCGTGCTTTTCAACTTTTCTACTGGGTTAATTCCAGAAGTTAAGGCAGTAATAAAATGAAGCTAGAGCTGTGGTTCCCATACTTTTTCGCCTTTGACCAGAAATTCTAAAAAATCTTGTTTACTTACCCGAGGTATTTGGACGTCAGTTGTAGGGGCGAAGAAAGCAGCCGCTCTGTGAGTGCTGCTTTACGTTTGCTGATCCGTAGTTGGGCTGTAAATAAGTGTAGGAAACAATGCGGTGGAAGTATTGTCCTAGGCTAAGACAAAAAGGATTCTAGTCGTCAGAACACGTGTTTTGTCGTCTGAGTTCTTCAGCATGTACACGTGTTCATCGTTGGAAAAGGACCAAAGCAAATAGACAGTATGTGCAACTTCCTTCAGTCAGTTAGCGAAAAATATAGGCTACCAGGGCATGGGATCCTGTGGTTTCCTACGCGGGCGGACAAACACCAGTGGTCTAGGGAGTTCTAGTCAGGGCTTCGAGCCCCTGCTATTCTCCGGCCTGTCTTGCCGGCAGCAGCAGTGTTGAAATCATGAGCAGTACACAGAGTATGGGTGGCCACTTGTGATAACGAACCACCACCTTTTCCATCACCCACTCATACTCGTGTAATCTGACAGATATGACCAGACCGCTCAAAGGATCGCAGACGGCCTTTGGAATGCACAAACTGACCGCGTACGATTTCTAACAACAAAGCCTAACCCCCCTGTTCAGGCGCTTTGTCAACTTGGCATAAAAGACTATTTTTTGGCAGGCTTGAGCGAAATTCGCTCCATGGGCGATCAGGCAAGCTCAGGTTTATGAAGATGTGAAGCAGATATTCCAACAGACTTGTGGATCTGAATTCGCCGGTCGTTTTCGTTCGTAACAGAACTCCCATTTTGCCATATATTGCTTGTTTGAGCAGAATACTGGGAACGTGACGTTGTTGTTTTTTTCTTCCCCACTTAAACGAAATTTAGGAAAAATGTCGTTGAGAAGAGCTTAAAACATTTAACGACAATCTCTTTGATTTTTATAAGTGTGCCATCGGCGTATGGACGCCAACAAGTGGGTTAAGGATGATCGAATGAGGTTGACATTTAGGATTCAAGGGACTCAAACGACTGAACTTCCGCTCCTCTGATCGGAATTATCTGTCCTCTTTTGTAGAACCTGACGTTCCTGAAACCCTAATTACTGTCTCTTTTAGAAACGAATGATGTTCCGCGTAACGTTTTTAGGAGCATTCAGTGTTCCGGTTTAGCGCCTGTTTTAACACGACAGCTGGGATAGGATATTTTTAAATGAGAGACTGCCGTACTGAGATCAATTTCCTTGACAAAATTTTTAAAGTCATCTAATGACTTGAGGAATCATGTACATAAAATAAATGTCAAAACTTAAGAAACCTTAAATCTAAGTTGCCGTTTAGGCTAAGAAAGATTGTTTGAATGGGGCTGTAGTACTGAACATTCTACAATCGGATCCAAAAATACAGCATCCAAGACAAACGATAGCTCATACTTGAGTTTCGTCCAAGCCATTTAGACGATAATTCCTGCAAATAGTTAATACTTGACCAGTGTACATTTTTAAACTGACTTTTAGTACCGGCATATGTTTAAGTATAGTCTATTAAGGAGTATGCGAAAATAACTTTTCTTTCCCATATCGGAAAATTATGCCTTCTTGCAACCTTATAGTTGAATGAATATGTCCTTTGTTTTTTAAAGCTGGCATTCGGAAGACTGTCAGGAACGCATACTTGGTCGTCCAAGTAGTCAAATTATCACAGAATTATTTGCGGCGCTTAAGAAGTTTGCATCGGGGTCCGTCTTTATCCTAATATATTATAAGTGCCGGAAGTGTGCTCCATAAAACTGTGAAAAGATAAATGAATTTGCTCTAGACAGAGTGCGTTGTAGGTAACTTTAAAGCTGACCGAACCTACATACGTCGCTGTTTGTGTTTTCAAGAACATGAGCCAAGCGCTTTGAGGAAAACCTGATTCCCTAAAAGTGTACTAATTGATTTTGCCTCTATTTTCCGGGGTATATGCTTGAATTTATACAGGTAAATAAAATCGATGCATAAACCAAACACTACCGATAAGGGTGATTTTTAGTGTGATTTTCCTAGATGCCTAAAAATGGAGTCAAACAAAACCAGTACAGTTCTCAGTATGAAAGAGTAAGGGATTTTAGTGCACATTAGTTAACATCGAATTGTTTTTAAATGATCCCAGCAAACAGAAAACGTTGCAATTTATGTCAGATTTCCATGAGTTCCCCCGGTAGGAGATAGGAATTGGTACCTTACTTGCTAGGTCGCTTCACGTCAAATATCAGGGGAGTACCTATTCTCGCTTTCGAACTCTGACATTAACCCTAACCAGCCTCGAATTTAGCACGAGACCGCTTGTAATTCGGGGGCACCCTATTCCCAACCGTAATCTTAACCTTAAACCGGACCCTCACCATAGTCCCACTCTTAACCTTGACCCCTATGCTAACCCTAAACCGTAAACTTAACCCTAACCTCAACCTTACCACTAGCTATTGGAATTTGGCAAAAAACCACCTTTAATACGGAGCATATAAGCATATAAGAGGATAATTTGTTCGATAATAGGCACTCAACTTTTTTCAAGATATTTCTGTTATCCCGCTATAGTGTAAAGGTATGCACCGATATATTGGAAGGACTTTCTGTTTTGACGTTTAACCATGGGAATATGAGGCGATTGGCCTTAGGATAATCTACAACGTAAACTCATAAAGCGTAGACGGAATGTATTCCCTAAAGTCCCTCCGGTACCCTAATTCTTCTCTTCTGAGTATTTGGTTTAGTTATTACGGTCCGCCCCAGGTAATATCGAAAGTGACAGTCAGTTTTACAGACTAGACATTCGCCTCCGAACGAGACTTCTGTTTTAAAGCACTATACTAAGTAGCGACAGATTCTTTTTCTTCCATTCTCAGATTTGTGCATTTCGCCGTATTCTGGCTTTAGGGACTGATTTCACCTTTTGGTAGAGGGAGGGAGCCTATTCCTTGACTTTCAACATTTAGGATAATTGATTAATTGTGCATGCATTTTTGACGACAGTTAACTTAAGAAATTGTTAAGTGTAAGTCTCCTCATAGGACAAAGCTAATTTCCGGTTGGCCGTATTATTTGTGAGTACATGAGAACCATGTGGTCGCCGCCTACATTTCGCAGACACACGACGTTTAAAAGATTAGTGGTGTGCATTTTCCTATTTTCGACAGTGTAGTTTGGGGAGTTGCTGCATTTCCGTCGACAACATGAAAATTTCAATATTTATTCCATTACCACCTGACGGAGTGTAATGCAAGCAAATGACTTGCTGACATTCGAGTCTCTAGTCCTGTGTCTGCACAGGCGTTTACTATGAGGAGTTCTACATGTTCGATATAAAATCTACTGAAGATCACAGTTCAGCTTGAAAGATTTATGTTTTTTGCCTTTCATGACAGGACGGACAAATGAAGATGCTTCTCATGCGACATCGCGGGTTGCAAACATCTCTCGGCGATATATCTGTGAGTAATCTAATGTTTTCTGCTGTTTCTCGAGTAAATGTCCAGTAGAATAGCTCAACACATTTGAAAAATGTATGAAAAGTCGGTGTAAGGCGAAAAAATTGGGTAATATGTGGTTTGGTAGCCCCACCTGATAGACGCAATACTGTTGGGATTTGGGTTAAGCGGTAGGGTTAGGGGTTAGGGCTGGAGATTTTGGTCAGGGGTTTTATAATTGGGGGTTAGTTTTGGGGTCAGGGCTTGGGTTTAGGGGTTATAGTTAGGGGTTAGGGTTAAGAGTTAGCGCAACTATTTTTCAACCACTCAAAGTACAACTGCACATCCTCAATAGCTTTCCTTTACATACAATTACTTGACCTCGTAGCCTGTGCGTTTCCCGGCCCCACCTGTAAAAACCCCTATTACCACCGATCCCGCATTAGAGGTGCCTGGGGTTTGTTTACTTCAGGTGGGGTTACATAACCAAATCCGACCGAAAATTGTTGTAGAAATGCGCAAAGACGGAAGGCTATGATATTTACAAATAATAGGCTTGTTTTTTCGACGGAAACAGCTGAACTCCTACGCTCCACCGGGTGGTACTTGGGTCAGGAAAAAAACGCTAATGCTTTCGTCGCTTGTCCACCCATTTCAATACGAAAGGTGATATTTCGATTGTCTTCGAGGTAGAAGCTTGAATTATAGCTTATGGAGCATTTGGTAACGTCGAGCGCTTTGCGTAGCACAGTTCGGCTGGGCACGGAAATGTGGACCCTCCTACTACGGGCGGACGTACGTTATATTCCAGGGTTAGTGCGAATGTTAGGGTTAGGACTAGAATACTTGGACTTTAGGTCAGCGTTGTGGTTACAATTACTGCTGTTGTAAGGGTTAGGGAGGTTGGGTTTGTGCCGCGACGGTGTTTTGTAGGGCTACTACAGATGGGTTGGTGTTAGGGTCGAAGTTTGGACACGAGAATATGCACCCCCTAGAGTTTAGCACAAAAACCCCTATTTCGGGAGGCGGTCATATTTTCGTGTTTGACCCACAATGCAAAATAACAACATAATGTCACGTGGTTGTTATTGGTGGGCTGGCAAATAGTTAAAGATCGTACTATATTCCATGAGAAATAGGAGAAAACAGATTGGTCATTGTTGAAGTGTAAAGCCTTAAATGCCATCAATTCAGTGACAAAACCTGTGAGTTTTTCCAAGCTTCCAAGCCGGTATTGTTTAGGGTGCAAAATTTGAAAATGACTAAAATTGGGCGTTAGTTTGAAATAATTTGTGTCATTAAACGCTGGTTATCAAGAAAAATGAATGCTGAACTAACGGAGTCTATAGCTACTCTGATTCATAAAATACAAAAAGGAGTAGGTATTATGGGGTACTGTGATTTCACCAGTACTATCAAAGAGCCAATGCGGGTGCATTTATGTCCGCGGGAAAACGCCGTAGCAAATATCTTTGTTCAAGTATACTTTCGAACGATTTTAAAAATTTTTCGCGTCCATATGTCAAATAAAGATACGTAGATTGTGAAAATTGACTAAATAACAGTGACTTAGAACAAGAACAAACTATCGGGGATCCACAAGGTACTGCTTACAAATTGTACTGTTAGTTTAAGCCACAATGGAAGTCCCGTCCAATGCATTTTAACTAAAATAAGTATATTTTGCCAAAAAATGAACGCTTAATTTTTTTGGTAACCTCCTCTTGAACCGTATCAGAAATAAAAACTGTTTATCCCAACCTACCTTCGGAAATAAGGCTTTTCTAAAGCGATGAAGAATGCATGTGTCACGTAAAATATTCTCTCTGACAAACTCCCATGGTCGTGTAACGAGCGTAACACGTCAGTGGAGATTTAAAACTTTGAATGGTCTCGTGAATTTGAGCCAGAGTTGCTATCTGCACGAATTCACATAATTTTACGAAATAAACCTGTCCGGACCAATAGAAATTTAGAAGGCAAGAGCAACACTTCAACGACGAAATCTTCTGTGGGTGTAGTTATTGCGCACGGTTTTCCTTACGATAATCCACTTCTGGCATTTTATTCAGGCGTGCGCCTCCTTTGCGTTTCTTCTTAAATTAGCAGATATATTTTATTCTGGATCACATTTCTCACAATATATATAAAGCGATGAGTACATTTTAGCTTCCTAGTATTAAGTCTGTCAGTGATTGTCAAGGGGTTCATTTCGTATGCAGTGTGTCAGTTAAAACTCCTTTGCGTGTTTTCATACAATACCCCATCTCCAAACCAAATTCTCACCACAATGCCGAAAGCCGCGGACACATCATTTACTAACGAAGAAAACAACGTACGAATAGACCTACTTTCCTTTGCATATCTTCTGGTTAATAACAAAAGAGCAATTTCATTTGCAGCTGGAGGTATTTACTTAAAACTTCCGGATAGCGTTTTTTCTCTAAGCACGCATGTAGTGAACCGTCGTAGAGCATTTTAGGTCTTTAGCATATTTTTTGCCGACCAATAGGGTGTAATACCCAACTAGCCAGTTATGCATGCCTCTTAAAAGATGATCCTCTGGGAACAAAAGTGTCGGGCCGTCAGCATTTTCAAAATTTGCATCCGGGATTTTCCTACAGTCCAGTCCTTCCGATTATGAAGCTAAAATACCAGTCCTCGCTTAACCTTATCCTTCGTAGAACAGGAAGATTGCGCGATCAATCGCTCGACAAGGAGCGTTTTGTCAGAAAGTTCTCATAGGCACAAATGGTCCTTGTTTAGACGGCATGATCCTCTACAAGTCCATGTCGCCTTTAGTTGTCGGCTTTTGTATTCAGCTGCGTAAAAAAGAAAGTGTTAAGCATCATTGTGTGGTTCGTTCAAATTTTACGTAAAGGTTCCAGGTGCGTGGACTGGTTTTAAACCTAAGACTGGATTCTGAAGCGGAACACATATGCCTGTGAACAGCAGAGCCTCTAATGAAATTTGGAAGGAGTAGTTAAAATAAAAGCAAACATTTGCGTCGATCACGTCTGCGCTTCTGACAGGAAATCTCTTCGCTTGAAGCTTGAACCAGCAATCTTTGCAGCTGTCTTACCCTGGGATTTCCGTTGTTTCGTTGAGGTCACAAAGATCTCACCAACGGCTTCGTCACGTGGTCTTAAATTTGGTCAGATTTAAAGTGCTGCCCTCCATGACGTACACGGGATTTGAGGACGAGTCAGTATGTCGGTTTCTCGGTTTTGTGATACATTGCACACCTATAGATGTCATCTACCACACCTAACTGATTTTCCCTCTTGTCCCATACTATCTAAGAGCAGCCACGCTCTACGAGAATAGCATAGCACGTGCGTTAAGTCCAGGCAGAATCTGCTTCCATATAACCTCATGCCTTGTCCATTTCAACTTTCGCCAGTTCACCTGCGTATCCGCGTTTGCATCATATGAGTCATACGCAACCTGTTGCGAACTGTGCGTTACAGTGATCAGGTTTCACGCAAACTGCGTCTTTTTCTGTGACCGTTCAGATGTGAATTGCTATTAGCGGGTAAGAATGGCCATCTAGGCACCGCTCACTTAATCGTACACTCCGTTTTTATTTCTTGCGCACTTTACACTGTTGGCCATCCAAAATTACGCGTCCTTGATTATGCCTTTAGTTAAAACCAAGTCCACATCAGCGGCAAAGTTGAAAATTATTTGTTAAAGACATATACCTAGACATATCATTTCGTGGATGAACAGTTTCATGGATTATGCAATACCTTGGATACGACTATCATAAACGTTGTTCTTTCAGTTAAATATAGCCCCTCTATATGACATCTCTTTTTAAGCGAACAGGAATTAGTGTGGGGCTCACAACTCTCAGGATAAATAGTCTTAAGGTAACCAGAACTTACATCCCTACGCATTTTTACTGAACGAATAAATAGACAGTTTTTATTGTATTTGAGAGAAGATACGCTAATATGTGGGTCCAACCTTTCAGGATATAAACGAGAGGACACAGTGTGATTCAATGCAACTTGGGATTTTCCTTTCTAGTGGAACTTCATAAGACAGGCGTTGGTTCGACGCGAGAGTTCGACCGTCGGTTTCGACTATGTCCACCGTGTGCTCCAGGGCAAGACGAAGCAGGGCCGGTGACTTGCACGTGAATTAGTTTAAGGTGATAACAGACTTGCACAGTATCTACCGCACTCTCTCCTCCCCACTCCCCACCTGGACCTGGTGTCAAGACAGAGTCAAGAAGACCGGAGGTGGGGGGAGGGCCCAGGTGGCTGGCGCGGCCAGAGCCGCACCTATGCTTGCCACCACACCCTCTGGTCCACACAGCAAATGACCATGATCTTTCGCCAACAACGACAACACCCAACAGGGGTCAGAGCGAAGAGGATGACTGGGCAGCCATGCCAACCGGCAGGGAACCAGATGTCAGGGAACTGCCAGCGCATACCAGGCTGTGATGGCCATGATTTGCTGGTACTGGCATATCACACGCGTAAATACCTTTTGACCTGGTTCAACTTATGCATCCTATCAACAGCACAGTCGCAAAACACGTTATAACACTGTGTGCATGGACTAGCCCACACAGTACCCGCACCGAATATTCAGCGCACATGTTTCACGTCTCTGCACCATTCTGATGCGTTAGCTCAGTTTCCAGGGTAACAGAATGCGTAATTCATCTTTTACTATACTGAGGCATAGCGGGACTAGATTTTTATCTTGAGAGTTTCTAAGAAGAAAGTCAGCTTTTGTCATGACCTCATTTGCACCGCTATCATTTCTCCAAAAAATGATGGCAAAATTAAACTCCTGGAAGAGACAGATCACAGACAGCATCAGACACAGTTCTAGTAACTAAGAGCATCAACTTGTTTCGTGGTTTCTGGGATTTTGGGCTCACGTCCTGCAGTTCTGCCTTGCCGAAATAGCTACCCGCAAGACACGTTCCACTGACTGATGTGGGTTCGCTCCCCAGTGAATGATGTGTTAAGTCTCCAAATAGTAGCGTTTATAGAAATATGTGGCCAAACCGTACATTTGGATTGTCGCACATAAAAAACAATCCTAGATTTTAAAGCAGTGTATTAAAAATGTTTTCCAATTCACCCTTTCTAAAGACTTTTCCACGGTAATAATAATCGGATGTTTGACTGAGCTGCCTAAAAGGTGGTTTTTAAATTCGGGCTGAATAGCTTTTAGTCAGGAAAAAACAATTAAGATTCTGCGATTGCGTCAAGTCCACTGATCACCGACGTTCGGCATAAAACTTGGTAAACTAGCCATTCTTTTGAAAATTTACTAGCCACCTTCAGATTTAGGGTGTAGTTCATTTAGATATTTCATCTAGCCATTCATAAACTTGAAGTTTTTATATGTGTAAATCTGTTTTGGGTAAACAGTACCAGCTTCAGTGGTATCACAGAACGTATAGCGGCCTTGGGGACGATTTGTTTTTCTCTTCCACCTAACAGGCAGCAGTTAAACGCAACATTTATGCTTGGCGATTTTACGATGTAAAAAATGACTAATTGCGTTCCTGATCTACATTACTGCGATGTTAGATGGTCAGAGTTAGTCTGCCACTACTAGATTTGGAAAGTTCGGAAGTCATCAAAAAACTGCAATTTCGTCTGACACACTAGAACTTTTAAAAGTGGAGAACATAAAGAGTTTGAACCCTGCAGCTTAATCGCAAAGTAATCGACAGTTCGACCGTCGTTGCCGACGATGTCCACCGTGTGCTTCACCACAAGGTGAGAGCAGGGACGGTGACGCGCGCGTGACTTAGCATACAGTGAATGTAGACTTGTGCTGCATCTACCGCACTCCCTCCTCCTCCCCCATCTTGACTCGGTGTCAAGACAGAGTCAAGAAGATCGGAGGCGGGGGAGGGCTCAGGTGGCTGGCACAGCCGGACCCGCACCTAGGCGTTCCACCACACCATCTGGTCCACAACAAACACTTGACCATGATTTTTCATCAGCTACAACAACAACACCCAAACGGGGGTCGGAAGGACGAGGAATATGGCTAAACAGTCATACCCACCACGTGTATAATCAGCGGAAGCGCAAGCACATCTACCAGCAGGTAACCAGGTGTTTGGGAACTGCCAGCGCATACCAGGCTGTGAGGGCCATGGTTTACTGATATTGGCATAGCACACGCTTTCAGACCCTTTGACCGCAGAGTAATCACTGTCATCTTCATTCACATAGCACAAGCACCATCCCACCCAATAAGCGACTAAACATTTAATGGCAAACGAATTATAAAACTAAACGTAAGGAGTCATTTTGGACTGGCTGCAACTAGCTGTTCGATAATCATAATCTTTTAGACGCAATAAATTTAATAAGTAAAAGACAGAGGTTTAACACGAGACACTGGTAAAAGTGGGCATATAGTCCCTCACCATCACGAAATTGGTATGTTCCTTTGCTACTTAATTTGATAAGGTAATTTACAACAGTTACTGTTTTTACAACACTGCAGTCATCATATGATGGTATACCACAGCACGGGATGGGGTTAGGCGTTAGCTACGGTCTTACGGGCTGGCGATTCGAGTAACCCCCACTGTAACCACAGCGTTGCTCACTTCTTTTGGACTTAATCCGCACTCCACCGCCATTCATGGCGTCGCAAGCACTTGCGTATCTATACTATCAGAGGGGATGAACGGCGCATACTTCGTCCCCGTAAGAGGGTCAGTAGCAAAACATGCGCATTTAGGATTAGATTTATAAGTAGTTCATTGATGCACTCACTGATGAACGCGCGGTAAACCTTAGATGGTAATGAATTACAACCAATGACCACCACCCAGATCGTGCGAGGCAGTGCTGCGTTCTCAAGAGTTTGACTCGTACAGCGCACACTAAACACAGCGCCCGCACCGAAATTTCATTATTGCGAAATTTCAGCATACTCTCTGGGTTACTATCTCCCTGTCCACACAACTCTTATTCACAAAAAATCACCATGATTACTTATGTACTGGCTAATACTAGGTATATGTTATTATAAACCAGTCCAACCCGATCAACTACTTAAAGGGGAATACGGCGACAAAAAGCGTTTGCAATTCCGCTTTAAGTCGTACCTTAGTACGCTTTGATTCATGTTTCTGGGTTTCCGTGGTTGAAACAAATGACTAGTGACACTATCTAGTCCTTCTCCACAATACCGATCACATTCACGGGTCACGTCATTGACAGTTTTTATTTATCACCTCATTTATCCACAGTTTGTTTCTTTTTTCCACCGTCAGAGTATATCTTATAATCTTTCCCCCTTGTGTTGTTTGATTGACGGCTGATATATGTTAGAGTCCTCGTTTTGATCATTTACTACCGTTAGAGATTTTTGTCAACACGTCAGACAAGATAGGCTGCCAATTATGCGAACAGTGTTTTCACCGTTCAGCATAATTGAGAAGAACTAGACACCATAACGTAGAAAGTACTCCAATGGAATAAAATTCTCTTGTTTTGTCGGTGGCTTTTAGTTTTTCTGGACGTCACTGAAGCTTCATGCGGGATTGTCTAGACTAGTTACTGAATGTTTCCATAAACCGACTTGACACGCGTTAATCAAAATATGCCAGACACTCTGTTTATTAAACTCGGTCTTAGTTCTCCCGCAACCCTAAGTTCATTCGAGTTGAGAGGTAGCACAATTAGTAAAAAAAGTGGCGGCCTTCCAGAATTTACACGCCCTGTCGTTTTTGATGTCACTTCCCCGAATGTAACTGTGAACATTAATGGGTACTTGAATTCAGTAAGTAGCAATAGTGTGCATAGTTAAATTTCAGGAAACTGTTGTTTTTAAACTAGTTTGGGAAAGCAATGTCTTTGATGACTATTCAAGCAATATACACTTGCAAGAATATTGATCACACTGAGAACTCGCAAGAATGCTCATAGCCTATACTGTCTATGTTCATAAATGAGTAGACAGGTATAAGTTTCAAGTGTCACCTCCATAGGTCAATCCGCATGATTTCAAATATCGCTAACTTGTGAAAAGTCATGTGTTCTTTTATGAGACTTTAATTTTCTCGGAGATAATGAACCGAGTCTTACGTTGGGAGATAAAAATTTTGGTGGAGGGCGAACCAATGAGTTTACTCATATACGGTCCAAAACATTGGATGTTAGCTCTTTATTAAATTATGAGCATCATTAATTATTTTAGAATGGTAAAAATGCGCTGGCTGCACAGTAGGGAAGACCCTGCGGAATATATATTTCCCAGAATTGCAAAATATCAGCCATGAGACATGTGTTCAGCTGTATCAACTCCCACTCTTTCTGCCAAGTAGGCACTTTATCCATCAAAGCCTCTGGCCACGCCGACTTAATCAGTACAAGTTTTCAGTTAGTTTTCTTTTTATTCCATACACTGACATACAAGCTCTTTGTCAAAAGCTTTAAACGGCATTTACCCATATAAATGGGAAATTAAACATTCACATAAACTTATCCTTGGAAGTTAACGCGTTCCGACATTTGTGTGCAACTTTTCAGACAGCTTTACCTAGCTAAAACATAAACCGCTACTTGCGTCAGAGGCTCACTTTCGGCGTCACTTATTACTTTCGTCATATTTCCCGAAAAGAATGAGTCGATTTCCAGAACATTGTCTATTCCCGATCGCAACTAACAAATCAACGAGCCCGCGGCTCAGTGGTTCGAGGCGGTGGACTTCTGACTAACGGGCCGCGACAACGAGCCCCAGGTGTTCCACACTTCGGGGTTGGACATGATTGACTGACAACGGCTAATAAGTCATAAATGGCCATTCTAGTCTCCCTTATCTTCATCGACAATACTATTTTGTCAGAAAATCGCCCTTAATAAATTGTTGTGGCCTCTCCCTCGAGTTTAATATAAGAAACCGTAGGACCTGAAAATCCCCTTTTGCCATGTGTTAATAGGAGAGGATTTCAGTTATTTTCCCTTTCAAGTCCAAAAACCAGATATGGTTTAATTTATTTAAAAAATTCCGTTTTTCCACATAACCTGACAATTTGGCTGTCATTACCGATGACAATGAACGCTCATTGGCCATGTGAACTTGAGCTTTTTCACTGCGCCAAAACGGAAGATATGTCAATCACAAGAGTGAAA